GGGGTGTCGGCGCCGTCGTCAGGGATTCGCGGGGAGGAGAGCGGCGCCGCTCACGCCCGGTGGTGTTTAATCCCTGGTTTTGACAACTTTGTTTCCCCCCTCTCGCTTGGCAGGGGCTGGGAGGAGGACGCGGGAGTCGCTGCTGTCACGCCGAGAGTGGTGCGAGCCCTCAGGTCCCCCCTGCCGTCCCTCGCCCAGGGCGGGAACAGGTAGGGGCCGCCCGCCTTCAGGCACCGACGGCGCCGGTCCCCGCGGAGGGGTCGACACAGGCAGAAATGTGCCTTCGCTCCAGTTCGTTCTCCCTTTTGTTTGGGCAGCTTTAGTCAGGGAGCGCGTTAGAGGCTTCATTATACTGAGAAAATGGAAATTCACTTCGGCTGTAGTAAATTACTTGCTCGCAGGGCCTCTTAACGACGGCTGTCGCTCTGCCGTTGGTTTTGAGCCCAATAAAATGTTGGATTATGGCAGTTTTGTACCATGCAAAAAGTGCTTGCTGAATGGCATGTTCCAGGTAGCTTTTATTCTTCTTTCCAGGAAGGTGGAGCTGGGTAATATTGTTATCATTTTTGCAGTGTGTACTTAGTCAAAAATACAGATTTCTCCTTTAAAATCCATAGGATGAAGACCAGACATACAAAGCCCTTTTCATGTTGTGTAGCATCTTACTTCGTAGGAGCCCTTTCCCTTGATCCCGTGTCTTGATCTTTTGTATCAGTGTAGATCTTTGCTTTACAGCCTGTTATTTTATACTGTGAAGTTTAAAATGAAAATATTTGGTAAAATTAGCAGTGAAACATGTTGTATCTTAAGTACAGGCTTCAATATTAACGACTGTGTTTTCGTGCTCTTGAGTCTTTACAGACTGTAGGAAAACTAATAGTGCGGAACAGGGTGGTGTAATCCACACATGAGATTTTACTATGTAAGAAGCAGTTTGTAAATATTTTTGTTACTGTCTTTTACTTTATATGGCTTCATTGACATCACCATTCCAATGATTATTATATGCTTATATATATTATGGTCAAAAACACATGATAAAAATTAGAAAGAACTTGGGAAGTGGGTCTTTAAAAGGAACTGTGATGTCCTGGTTATACTGAAGTCAATGGTGACAATGCAGTTAACCTTACTGATGCCACCATCTCACCCAATCTAGCTGAATTGGAGGTTGAAACAACATATGCTTTCCCTAAGTGAATGCAAGTGACATTAGTTGTAGTAACTATTGGAGTGTACGCGAACAGCAGGTTTCTTGCGCGTTTCCGATGAGAGATCCTCCTGCTCCCTGCCTCAAAATTTAGAACTTTCACAAGCTGTAAGTTTCTAACATCATTCAAAATTTGAGTGAAACAAAAGGAACAGGAACATTTGCAGCATTCTCACTGCTGTTATGGGCTTCTAGCCTGCTTCTCTCTCCTGTGCTCATTTTTTCCTTTTCTGCCTTTTTTTCCTTCTTTTCCACTCCTTACACTTTATTGGTTTTTCAGTATGTACTCTGTTCTGCTTTGGTCTTGTAGCTGTCACTCCATTCTCCTCTCTGCTCTGTTTTGTGTTATGTCTGTGGTCCCCCCCTGCCCCATCTTCTCATACTCTTCCTTTTCCCTGCTAGTTTCTGAGCTGCAGTCTCCTTCCACTCAGCTCTGTGTGCTAAACCATGGAGTCAGATTGACTAGAAATGCTGGCAGAGAGCACTTCAGAGAAAAGAGTCTAGCTGCTTCCCATCTGCTGTTAGTACACTCACAACTGGAGCAAAGAAAGTGGAAGCAACACATACCGAAGAGGGCTGAAAATTTGTGGTGTGTATGGCTCAGTTTTTAATCTCTGTAATAAGGCAAGTGAGCATGAGATTTTAAATACGTGTTTTTCCTTAATCTACTTGGAGGATTTTGGCACCAATTTGGAGCTAGTTTTGATCCACCTGAAATTGTATTTCTTCGTGACTAAGTGACGGCAAAAGCGTGACAAGTAAATTATTCACCAAAAAAAGTTTCATTTCACTCTAGCTCCTATAACCATAGTGTCTTTGGAGGGATGGCTTGCTGGCTGAATCCAGGAGGGGATGTTCTTTCTCACCTGAGTGACTATGCTTAGTTAGCTGGCCTGACAGGAGTCTGTGGTGCATGTTTGGCTTATGAGGAAGAAGGGAGAGCTGCTGGACTGACCAGGAGCTGTTACTTAATCCAGAGAGCAGCTCTGGGCAGGGAGCCATGCTGTAGGGGTTTGATCCAGGCAGCAGCTGGACTGGGCCTGGCTGAGGGCCATGGTGGAGAGATTTGATCCAGAGAGCATCTGGACTCATTCAGGAGATTCAGACCAATCCCTCCGTGATGGAGATGGATGGTCTGGTCTATAGGAATTCGATTCCAGTTTGCAGTGGGGTTTTTGCTGCAGTATCCATCAGTATAGCAAAAGGACAGAAGAGTCCCTCGTTGAAATAGGTTGTACAGGGGTTAGTGAATTTTTGAATCAGATGAGGCTACGTTAGTATGTTGATGCATAAAACTAGGAACAATCTATTGGTGCAGACTTCCCAATGCATGGTTCTCCTAAAGCACCCTGATGGCTTGAATAGCATTGCTGTGTTGCTGACAGCAATGTCTTTTCCTGGGTAAGAGTAAGAGGATGTGCATGGATGCTAGGTTAGACTCTGACCTCTTCATCAGTTTGACACATTTTTCTGGAAAGCTAAGATTTTCTCAGAAAATTTGGTGGGAGGATCCAGGAAAGGAAAAAGAAAAAAAAAACCCTGGGTACTATCCTTCTTGAACTCAAAGTATAAGTAACCTAGACAATCTTCATAATCGCAAGCTAATCTTTCTTCTTATCATGGTTTCCTTTGTTGTTGGAGGTATGTGTGTAACCGGACATCTCCTGAAGAATCTCTAAGGCCCTATTATTCTGTTGCCTCGCAATAATGAAAGCTAATCTGTTCTTTTACTTAGAGTAATTCTTTTAATGGGATGAAACTGAAGGATGAAAAGATGAAAAGCAGGGGATTGGTTCGGACTGTCATAGATATTTAGGCAGCTATTATGCACAGTGATATTTAATTAGATGGTGACCAGGCAGCTAAAGTTCTCTGAGGACTGTGTCTTAGTAAATAACCTTGAAGACATGGTTTGTTTCTTACAGGACATTTCTTACCACTTTTCTTTGGTAAATGTTAGATAACTCAAACAATGTGACTGCCTCTACAGTGTGACTTCCAGTTTTTGTCTTGGGTTTATTTCACAGGCTACTGTGCCTGTTAGTAGGGTTTCTTACAGAAAAAAAGGGCCATTGTTAGTAACATTTCTCTAGTACTCCCCAAATTTATTCATGGAACCAGTATCATTTACACTGCAATACTATGGTTCTCTGGCAAATTCTCATGTCTATGCCTCATACCATCCTCTCAGTTTTTAAGCTGTAACTGCAAGTATACCTTAAACTTGCTTAAGCCAACAGGACAACCGAAAGAAGTAATCTTGCACTTGTCCCACGTTTAAACACTTGGTCCTCCCTCCCTCCCCAACTGTATTTGTGCCAGCGTATTTGTTTGTGTAGTCACAGCATTAATAGCAAAATAGAGGGCTCAGTACTGCTAGTGCTTATCAGGGGAAGGTGACAATAATAAAAGGAGCTAGGTAGTGTTTTCTTTGTTACGTGGCCCAGAGTGTAGTAGGTTAAGCTTGGGCAGAAATTCTAGGTCCTTTTGTACTCACCAGGAATATATAGCAGATAAAAGTGCCAGCCCCAGAAGGGAAGTGAAAATAGTTTCCTCAAGCACTATTTGTATATACTTTATACACAAGTAATAACAAGGCAGCAGTACCCTGAAGAACTGACCACCAGTACTGTTACTCCGTTTGTGTCGCCAATTTTAAGGCATTCACTTACTAATTGCCTAACTTACACTCTGTCTTCGCAGGTCCAAGGGAAGCACTGTGTAGAGACCGTTGGGGTAATTGAACAGTGGGAGGAAGTGATTGAGGAGCTATGAGTAAACAAGTTAGTATTAATACAGCGTTCCATATTGTTGGTTTCTGCAATTCCTCTCTCAGCAGCAGATCTTTATGCAGGCCTAGGGAATAAACAACTATACTTAATTAACTATGCTACAGAGACCTGTACATTCTGTCTCCTGTCAAAATACTGCATTCTGGCAGGCAGAAGGGGAAGAAGAGACAGGCTATTACCACGATTATGAGCAGTAGCTTAGTATATTGCACAAATAATTTGCTACAGTTTAGATTAGTCAGCACTGGTGGCCACTTCACTAATTTTACTGCTCTCTTAGTATTTTTTCCCTTCATTCCTAAGTGATGCATGCAGGCATATTTTCGGAGTGCCTTTCTAACACATGCCTCATGTGTTAGTTCTGTCTAAATGAATAGGTGTTCAGTTGAAAGCTGCTGCCAGGACACATTTGTGTTCTGACAGTGGTGAAAGGTTTCCCAGCCTCTTTCTATTTACTTGGTCCAAGTGAAACTGCTCTGTCATCCTGTCTGTCGTGTGCTATTGTAACATCATTTTAGTGTAAGTACCTTATTCTTTTCACTTTACCCACCATAAGACTCTGAATGTTGCTTGTCATGTTACCTGTCATGCGGTTTATGGATTTTATAAATAAAAAGTATGATGTTACATATAACTCCGGTGAATGCACTGGAAAATCTTCCAAATAATTTAAAAATGCAGCTTGTCTAAAAGACCTGATTTAGCATTCCTTAGATAAGCAAAACCTCCATGGGAACTTGAACAAGGATAGTAGGATCCGTCTCTTTCACAGTTACTGTGATTAATGTTACAAGACAAATTCTTATTCCTATGGTTTGATAAAGCTATTTTTATAGTCTATTTCACCAAGCATTTAAATTGTGTATTGCCTTATTAATGAAGGTGTTGTGAACCTTAAAAATGTCCCTATATTCTTGTCATCGGATTAATTTGAAATAGTGTCAAAGATAGCACTTAAGAGCACTCTTCCTAGGGAAGTATGGAGTACAGGTTTTTAATCGTATTCAACTAATAGACTGTGAGATTCAAATATGAATTAGTCTCTTCAAGGGAGAGATTAAGAGAGAAGGTATTCACAAACTGGATAGTGTTGTTCAAGTGCCACTTTGGTAGAAGGATATAAATGTGCAGTTTTGCATGCAGAGGTTACGCTTTTTAGCTGGAGACGCTCAGCTGGAACTGGGTTCAGAGGTCCTGTGCTGCTTCAGGCAGGCGAGAGCAGGAAGCCATAGAAAAAGTGCAACAACTACTTTTGCTGGGCACAGAGTGAATAAAGCCAATGAGTGGGATTTTTCCTTATGTTCAGTGTGGACTTAACTCTTGCTGAAATTAGGGGTGAAATTCTTGTTGCTTTCAGTGCTGCCAGGCAGTCCAGTTCTGAGCTGTTTTGAAAATCTCACTCCACGTTCTTTCAGTTGTTTCCAGCTGATTTTGTGGGAATACTGGAGGATTGGCCTTTCGGTCCTGGGCATATCTTTATGTTACAGTATAATTCACAGCGCTATATTTTCTTTTCCCATCTGCTTTTTGTTTTTCCCACTACCATTCATCCTTTTTCATCCATCTTATGTCTGTCCATTTTCCTACTCTGATAACTTTTTGGGGTTGAGTTTCGTTTTGTTTTTAAAGGGATTCCCTTTTCTTTCCCTCCCTGTACCACTGCTCCCCCAGAACTCCATGTTAACTGAGGTACCTGTCTGCCTGGTGATTCTCTGCACTAAGGCTCCCTGTAGTCTCAGGACTGAATGCTACAGGTGCAGCAAAAGGGGCTGTGGACTTTCCATATTTTTTCTCTATTTCTTTTTCTAAAGTTGGGTGCAATCCTTGTCTTAAATAATTTTACAGTTTAAAGAACTGCTGTCTTCCTGAGAGCAAGATATAGAATAACAACGTACTGATAAATATGACACATGGTCTTAATCTACTGTGGATTTATTAAAGTACAGATGGTGTACTTTCTGAGTTCCTAGAATTACCATAGGAAGTATGTGGTCCTCAAGCTGTTCATATAGGATTTTAAAAAAACCTCTCTGTTTTTCAGATTTTGGCCAGTGAGATTGGCTTTGAGAACATCTAAACCCTAAGGGAAATGCAGCAGAAATTTCTCACTTTCATCCATTTTATGAGTTCAAGTCAACAGAATATAACATGGTCTCCAAGTTCTCATCTAGCTTGAGTTTGCAAAATTAGTTAAATGTAGCCTGATATCTGCGTTGTTAGGCATGTTATCTGATTTCGCTGCAAAAGTTTTGGTGCTGTTCTAAGTATTGAGCAAAGACTGTCATCCCCTAGGTCCAGTAAATTCATTTAGTGATAAATGTTGCCTAACATAATTGTCCTAAGTGATCAGAAATCTAATCTGACTCTGATGTCTGCACAACTCTGCAATGAATAATGCAGTAGAAGTCCGGACTGCCACTTGCACACCCCTTTTGTCTGAATGCAAAAATCTTTCACTCTTGTGAAGCAGAGGCCGCTCTGACAGTGAAACAGAAATTCAGAAACTTCACTTTTACTGGAATGAGTCATTGTTTTGCATGTCTTTCAAATAAATATTTTTATTTTTGTATCTTATTGCACCATATAAAGAGCGTAGAGTAAATTTTGTGTGGAAAAAGCCACAGAAGCAGCATTTTGGTGATCTATCTTGTGCCTGCATTATGTGGATAAAGAATTTTGATTAAAATTCGTGTCTGGTTTTTCCCACCATTGTGCCATTTTCACCAATCTTTACATGTGTCATGGAAAGGGAAGGAAAGACTCCTTATTCCTTTGTTCTCCCCTTGATGGCTGTAAAAGTGATTGTCAGGATTTAATGACAAAACAGAACAGGGATTTATTTTGCTCATTCTTTTTTATCTGACTTCTTCCTTTTTTGAATTTTTCAAGTCTTGAAAATGTGTGCATAAAAAGCAATTATGTATTAAAAAAAAGAGGCAACTTGCTTCAGTTGATCGTAGTGCTATGAATTTAAAAAGACTAAAAGTCTGTTGAGTAAAGCTTGTATTTGGTTGAGAGAATATTTATTCACTGTCCCACTGGTCTCAGGACATAAATTAATAGGAAGCTCTAAGGACCTTGTAATGATTCCCTCCACAGAGTTGAAACCTACTTGTGAAAGAATGTTGGCTCTTGGGCGATGCCCGCAAACGCACCTCGCAGTGAGCTGGTCTGACCTGAACGTGGTCTTCCTGGCAGGCCTGGTGTGTTAAAGAAGGTCTCCTCTGGCCAGCTGTGCCTCAGAAGGGCTGGTGCCACTTCTCAAAGCAGCACCCAGCACCTTGATTTTTAGTTCTAATGAAAGACTTATTTGCAGCTGTAACGTGCACTCGGCTTATGATAGCAATAGTTCTTTTTTTAAGGTGCTGTTTATGCAGCTAAGCTTTGCCCGTAGCTGTTTCTCATACTTTTAAGCTGCAGCTGCAGGAGAATCATTTGAGCTTACTGAATTCAGGAAGCCAGAGAGAGGAAACATTTAGTGCTAACTACATTTGTTTGGGAACTGGTGTTGGGTTCTTCTGTGAAAGGGCCCACCTGGTTCCTCGGTGTAGACAGCACCGTTCAGACCAAGCTGCAATAAACCTGTGTGTGTAACTGGTGCAGGCAGAATATTTGCTGGCACTTACTATGTAAGATCTGCTCAGTTGTTTGCTCCAAACTGCGTGCTCTCAGTGTCTACTGCCCTCACATTGGTATGTCGCTCCTTGAAAAAGAATTAGATAAGGAGCTGTAAGTAAAAATCAGCCAAGGAGCTCTCAGTAGGTAGTGCCAGCTGTTACTATCTATTAAAGTCACTGCAGAACTGAAAGGACAAGAGGTTTATGTTGTGTTGTCTTACCATTGCCCTCAAAAAAGGGTATGCAGACTGCATACTTCCTTAGGGGCACTGAGTGTGTACTGGGAAGAAGTTCCTGATGCTGGAAATAAAGGGAGAGAGCTGATCTCTCTCCTCTGCAGCCTACGTCCTGGGTGAATTGCTCCTATGGAGTGACTGATTCACTAGAAAATTCATGTGCAGTGGAAAGAGAAGGAAACGCGCTTTGTTCCTTTTCCTCCCCTGTGGTAGCTGTGAACATGCCAGTCAGTTCAGTAGTAAAATAAACAAGCATTTATTCTGCTTGCTTTTCTTCAGTCAGTCTTCTTGTCATTTGAATTGTTTTAGGATTTTATTTGTTTAAGAAGAGAAGGCTCAGGGGGAACCTTATCAATACCTGAAGGGAGAGTGCAAAGAGGATGGAGCTAGATTCTTCTCAGCGGTGCCCAGTGACAGGACTAGAGGCAAGTAGAGGCACGGGAGGTTCCCTTTGAACATCAGGAAACACTTTTTCACTGTGAGGGTGACTGAGTTGTCCAGGGAGGTTGTGGAGTCTCCACCCTTGGAGATATTTAAAAAGCCGTCTGAACGCAGTCCTGGGCAGCTGGCTGTAGGTGGCCCTGCTTGAGCAGGAGGTTGGACCAGATGACCTCCAGAGGTGCCTTCCAACCTCAGCCACTCTGTGATTGTGTGACTTGAAATGGCATCTTTCCTAAGTAAGAGCTTCAATATCAGTTTGTCAGAAACCTTGTTGCTAAGTGGTCTCTCTGTTTTAATAAGTGAAGGCAATGGAGTTTTGGTCCTTGTTAGTAAAAGGAATGCTAGTTCAGAAGCAGAGCGCATTGTGTACAAAGCAGGAAGACCCTTTCTCTTTGTGTACGGTGGCCTCTGTACAGACATGGCTCAGTTCTTCCTTGTTGCTATGAACAGCACGGGTATTAGCTCACACCCAGGAGTGAACGACACAGCATCTAGATCTTCTGTATTTCTAGTTCTGGTTTGGACAAATAAGTTGCAGTGTCCAAGTGCTCCAGAAGTAGTGAATCGGTGGAAATAACTGAAGAGGCATGGGGAGAGGGGAAGATGGTGAGGAGCAAGGAAAATAAAAGTGCTGGAGGAAAAATGCTCCATGACAAATGACAATATGTAGCAGAAGGTTGATGACAGAAGAGGGTGTTTGTATGAGATTGAACCTAGATACAGGGTGAACTGATGTGAATGGAGGAAGACCTTGGTATCTCAGTCATTTACTAATTTACAGCTCAGTCTTCTATGGGGACTGCCAGAGCAAGAGGACCACACGGGAGTTTGTTGAAACTAAGACAACAGGAGTTAAAAATCACTGTCTGGCACTTGCCTTGGTTCCTTTTACAAATATTTATTCTCACTGTGTAAATAAAGAAAAAACAAGGAAGGAAGTATTAAGCTCGAGTCAGTAAGTTAAAGTCCACATAGAAAGATCCACTTCACCTGTGCTGTTTCCTGTACATACTGTATTGGCTCTGAATATTGCATTTCATCAACAACTTTAGGAAATCACATCTGCTAAATATTTTACTGGTTAATATTTTAAATATATTCAAAACATAATGTTCAAGAGGCTTGTCATTTCATTTCTTTTTTTAAGTACATTTTCTGATTACAGCGTAAAGCTGAAAATATGATTCAGACTATGAAATATGGTTACTTTAAAGAATCAAATATTTTATAGTCACTAGCAGCAAACTCCCCTTTTATACAAGAGCTTGACAATAGAAGTCAATAAGATTTCTTTGGTAATGTTTTCAGCTAAATCAAGGGTTATTAATCTTATTGTCATAGCAAAGTAAATGTGACAGCATTGTCAGAATATGTTCTCTCTTTTAAAGTTTGTTGCTTTTCCTCCCTGTCCCCCCCTTTTTTAACAGAACAACTGTTAATAAAAATGGAATTTACCAGTTTGAACAGGCTTCAAAATGTAAGGCAATTCAGGACAACATTTTGTCATCATCTATCAAGAAGAAAAGGTAGGTGTTTGCTGTGCTTTCAGCTTTGTTTGTTTTAAATAGAAGTGTAAAAGAGTGTCCTCTTTTATATAATTCTCAATGATATGAATGTGGAGCTATACGACAGGAAACTGAAATTGTTCAACCAATGTTTGCCTGCATTTTTTCTTTCACATGAATTAGATTTATTTGAGGTTGGATTTTATTTTTTTTTATTTTCACAATATAAGTCAACAAGATTTCTCCTTGCCAGTTAGCAACATTTTATTCCAAGATATTCACAAAAGGTTGAACAGAGTCTGTGAGATATAATTTCATTCTTAAGTGTCTTTTTCCTGATTGGTGAACACTCCTGCTATGAGCAACCTCAGTTAATGGATTCTTTTCAGCATATTCACTAGAGTAGGTATGGAAATGTACTAGTATAAAAACTTGCTAATTAATTACACTTGTTATAATAACTAGTCCCGAAGAAAATAATAATTCCGTTTTAGATACGTGGAAAAAACACCTCAAATTAATTTTGGGTTTCAACTTGCTGTTCTGCCTTCTCCTGACATGGAAAAAAAACCTTTGATATCAGCCCTGCTCAAACTCCTTGCCACTTTCTCAAGTGAAAATGGGAGAAGCAGCTCTGTGGAAAGGGACCTGGGAGTCCTGGTGGACAACAGGGTGACCATGAGCCAGCAATGTGCCCTGGCGGCCAAGAAGGCGAATGGCATCCTGGGGTGCATCAAGAAGAGTGTGGCCAGCAGGTCGAGGGAGGTCATCCTCCCCCTCTACTCTGCCCTGGTGAGGCCGCATCTGGAGTACTGCGTCCAGTTCTGGGCTCCCCAGTTCAAGAAGGACAGGGATCTGCTGGAGAGGGTCCAGCAACGGGCCACAAAGATGATTAGGGGATTGGAACATCTCTCATATGAGGAAAGGCTGAGGGACTTGGGTCTCTTTAGCGTAAAGAAAAGAAGATTGAGGGGGCATCTTATTAATACTTACAAATACTTAAAGGGAGGATGCCAGGGGGATAGGAACAGTCTTTTTTCGGTGGTGCCCAGTGATAGGACGAGGGGCAATGGGCACAAGCTTGAACATAGGAAGTTCCATCTTAACATGAGGAGGAACTTTTTTACCTTGAGGGTAGTGGAGCACTGGCACAGGCTGCCCAGAGAGGTTGTGGAGTCTCCCTCTCTGGAGACATTCAAGACCCGCCTGGACACTGTCCTGCGCAGTCTGTTGTAGGTGACCCTGCTCTGGCGGGGGGGGTGGACTAGATGATCTCCAGAGGTCCCTTCTAACCCTGACCATTCTGTGATTCTGTGAAGTAGCTCATTGCTTTTGACATGTAATATTTTGTCTATACGGATGTGCCAGTAAATAATGTAAATAAGAAAGGCTTCCCATTAGGATGAAGTTCCAGCTTAAAATTAATTATGTGCGATGGTGTCTTTAAAATGGGAAGCTTTTTTTTCCCCCCTCCATTTGTAAAAAGAGAAAAGGAATGAGAAACAAAAGTTCTGCTAAAAATAATTATGTGCCTTTCCCCATTCAAAGAACTGGAGAAGTCAAATTTTTCCTTAACCCAGAAAAACCATTAAATTATGATTTTAAAACTTCTCCTGTCTTTTCTGTCCCCGTCCTCACTTTTTCATTGCATTTTAAGATCTTTCACCTGTTTTTAAGTGATCATATTCCCAGCACTCTTTTCAGTGAGACCTGAAACAGAGGCTGGCAAACAGAGGTCAAAGAATACAGTTGGCTAAAAAATTGAGTGATTAACACCAAGAGGACAACCAGTCACTGTGTGGTCTCCAAAGTCTAGTTATAGCAGTATAAATGCTGTTATTTATCCCGTATGTTAGGAAGCTGTAGAGGCTGCAGCAATGCAGATGCGCTCTTCATATCTAGAACATTTTGGAGCTGAGATTGTAGGAGAAACTTTAGCAAGTGTCAGACCTTTATTCTGTGGCTAAAGAGAAAGGAGCTGTACCAATAGGAAGAAATTTTTCACTTTGAGGCTGGTGAGGCACTGGAACAGGTTGCCCAGAGAAGTTGTGGAAGCTCCATCCCTGGAGGTGTTGAAGGCCAGGCTGGATGGGGCTTTGAGCAACCTGGTCTAGTGGGAGGTGTCCCTGCCCATGGTAGCGGGGTTGGAACTTGATGATCTTCAAGGTCCCTTCCAACCTAAACCATTCTATGATTCTATGATTTAACTAAGGCAGAAGATGAATTGGGCAGGTAGGAAGAGAAACTGATGTTTGGAACAAAGGAGCAAGTGCTTGATTGCTTGTGCCATGAATATTGCAACTCATTGCCCTTCACTGAGGGGAGCTGCAGGGATCTTTGTTGCTTTTTCAAGGCGTGACACACAGGCATGGTATATAAATGCTTTATAGTGCAGTTCTAGGTTTTCAGGGACTTTCTGGACACTCTTGCCTCTTAAGTTGGCAGAAAGGGAAAAAAATTACTAGTTTAAAGCTTGTCAAATGATTTGATAGTAAAAAATGCTATGTAAGTGGGAAGTTATTATTATAGCAGGTATGTGCTGGTGGTGATAAAGAGCCTTTGCTGGCAGTTTTCCATTTTTATCCTAGAGCAAGCCCTGTGCACACTTTCCTGAGGGCTTTAAAAACTGATAGTTGTGTTGGTAGTATTGAAGTGTCCAAAAGCAAAAGGGATCCTCCTTTTCTTTTGCATTTCCTCCTGTTGTTTTTCTTTTTATTTGTTTCTTTCTTGAACATAATCTGCCAAGTAGGAATATCTCCTTTTTTTCACTCCTGCTGCTCACTTTTCCTTCTAATTCAAGTAGGGTTTTTTTGGAAGTAGGTGTTTAGTTTTAGCAAGTAACCAGTAGGGCTGCACCTCTCTCTCTGTTCTGGCATTTTACGTATTGTCTCCCTACTATCTCAACTCTTCTGTCCTTGCTGTTGTCCTTTAGATATCTGCCAAAAATTAGGAGATACTTATACTTTGTCAGTGCCTCAACTGTGCATAATAATTCCACCTTAGCCACTGCAGTTAACATAGAAGGTCACTGCGTACCTAACAATCACTATAGGCAAAAAAACCTCTTCCAGGTGTTATATGTCAGCAAGGCTCACACAGTATAAGTGAGTTTCCTACAACACTAAGTTATTATAATGGTCGTGGTGCAGGTGGCAGACAAAACCAGGACAAAACGTGTTTCATTCACTGTTCTCAGCACTGTAATTATTGTCTTGTCCACATATTTTTACAGTTCAATTTACCTGAGCTTTTTTATCTTAATAGTAAAACCCTTTTGGCATCAGTGAATATGTGCTGTAAGCTCCTGGGTGCCAGTGGAAATATATGTATTGTCCCAGCTCTTTTAAACGGAACAGTGGAGAAGAGGACTGTCTGGGTTACAGCAGAGCCATGAAATGATACCCTGATGGCCTTCTGGACTGATTCCATTGCAGGAGTGAGTCCCCAAGGCTCTTTTAAAGCAGGAAATGCTAAAATAGGCTTTCTGAGAGGAAAACAAAGCTTTCTGGGTTGTAAACCCAGCTGCAGCAAGTCCCAGAGCTTCACTTTGAGTCTTTAAAAAAAAATAATCTATGGGCATATTGTCTGTGTTCAAGTAGAGTTCATTTCATGGAAGCCTTATATTGGTGTGAGCAGATGTGGCGGCCGCTTTGCAGAGCTGTCACTGTCATGAGTTCCTGTCCCCCAGGACGTGCTGCTGTGTTGTCTCTGTCACTTGCAGTGCTGGCAAGCACCAGCAAGGATGAGTTCTGACAGTCTGTAGTGTCTTTGTTAAGTCACAAGAGGAGCAAAACTGGGGAGTGTTCTGCCTTGTAAAGAGCTGTAAGTGGTGCTTTTCTGGGTGAGCTGGTGAGCTTAGGCACCTCCAAGCAAGAGTGATTCCATCCAGTAGACAACAGTGGAAAGGCAGCCGTGCTCTTGCATTGTAATTGGTGTTCTTACCCTAGGTGCAGCTTCTGTTACGTGTATAAGAAGGTCCTTACAGTTTCTGACAGTGAATGCCCGTGTTTCTCATGAGGCCTCAGAACTAGCACTATGGACGATGCTTTGATTTTTCTTCTTACTGTATGTTTCCCTGTAACTTGCTAATAACTTGTCAGTCCATGCGATTTCTTTCCGAGTTGATGGTAATTTTTCTTTTCATTTCTGACTCTGATCTTCATCTTATCAATGTCTTTAGGCTAGAATTTTCCTTTTCTATATTTTTTTTCTCCTAGATAATGATAGCCTAAGTAACTTTTCATGCTCTGTTATCCTATTAATTCTTGGAATTTTTCCATAAGTCCCAGCATCTAAGAGTTATTTATTGTTTAGCCTTAAGGAATAAAACTAGATGAGTGATTCAACATCAGCATAGGCTATTTTGGTCCTGTGTTTCTGTCCCATCCTACCCCCACATGTGCTCCCTGTCCTGGTGCTGACACTTGTCTGACCCCACAGTGAGCCAATTTAGGTAGCAGCTTCAGCAAGAAAGTAGTTCCATTTTCTCTGGCTGCAGTTCCAAGGCTGCTAATACAACATACCAGCTGGCAGCTGCCAAAATAGGAAGGCCTTGTTCCCAGTTTCTCCAATCCCATCATTTCTTGCTTATACTGGCTGTGGTGTTCGATGGAATCTTTCCTGAAGAAAACGTATATGCATATTTTTTTCTTTCTGGTTTATTTTTTTGTCATGGTAGTGAGTTCAAGTGGCCTATGAAGGCATTTGACAAGTGCAGAAGCTGGCAAAAACAAAACAGAGGTGGAGTCAAGTAAGTACCAGCAGTGGCTCAAGGGAGAGAATGGATTTGGAGTTGGATTGAAAGGAGGAGGAATGTACTGCACAAGGTCAGATCAGCTGCAGCTGCAATGAAACTAGTTTTGCTCTTTTCCCGCTTCTGCTCATTCATTCCTGTTCTCTTGAGTTGTGCAAGGGCTCAGTAAAATCAGTTTAGTCACAACCATCTAGCTCCTTTAAGAGTTTGCTAAGTCTGGAGAATGAAAATTGTACCTGTTGTCACAGGTGCAAACTTGAGCCAAAGACCAATTCTAATGCAGAATTCCTCTAATAAGTTTCATTTCTTTTTCCATGTGGAAATGGAACATGATTTTACTCAGGTGGAGATAAACAAGTTAACTTTAGCAGTTGCAGTACTGTTATGAGGCAGACAAAAAGGGATCTGTTCTTGCAAATGCTTACCCTAAGGCTGTGGTACTAAAAGCATGCTGAACACAGAGAGAGGACGAAGCTTTCAGGTTGTTGACTTCTGCTGTTGCAATCACCACAGCCTTTTTTATATTCGTTTTCATCAATTCTTGTGCTCCATTTAAAAACAAGTCAGGTTTCTTGCCATCCCAACTCTTGTAAAACTGTTAAAAACATACACTTCTAAATTCTAGCTTAAATAAACTCATGATCATTTGGTTTTGGGCCAATGTTAAGCCATTTTTGCTAAAATAATATGAGGTACATCTTTTCTGGAGACATAAGTCCCATAGAATTTGTAGTTACGGCATCCATATCATCTCTTCTTCCCATTCCCCCAGTCCTTCTTGTAAGTCAGAGTTATTGTTTTAAAAAAATATATATTAGGATCCAAGAACAAATGGGAGAAGTATTAACATTGAACCTATAGGGGAAGAACTGTCTCCATTTTTTTGACTTAAATGTTCTGAAGTATTTCACATATGGACAAACTTCAATCTGTTGAAAGGGTTTAAAAGGAGCAGAAAGCTCTCTGGTTACGTGTACCAATGTAACCAAAGTGCTGGTTGATGTAAACCGACAGATTGTGTTATTTAACAGATAATCTGAAGGAAAACTTACATCTGTAAATATTGATCTATGGTCTTAGATGATTGAATTGAGCTTTGGGGACTCTATAAGGTAAACGAAAGAAAAGGCATAAGAAGGGTGATGTTTCATCTTGGCTTGCAAGAGCCACATTTCAAAACATTTTTGAAGTTTAAAGCACCAAATACAAGAAAGAGATTTTTTTTTTTTGTATTATTTGTGACCTTTGCACTTGAGATGATTTCTAATAACTTCAAGATATTTAAGGTCAAATATTTAAGTTTGAAACCAGTGTACTTTTGAAAGTTTCTGAAAAGAAAAGTTCATTAGGACATCACTGTTAAGAAGCAATGTTTAATAGGTCATGCTAATTAAATGAGGATAGTACTGTTACAAATTACAAAAATAAAATAGGTCACGGAGTTCTGAAAGCAATCTATTATATATGCATCATTCACATTATTATTAATACATGCATCATTTGAATGTTTTAGAGACTGTTTCTAAATATACATATGTATATATTCTAGTGTTTGATGTTGTTGCCTTTTTTAGATATTCAGAAGATTATTATCTTCACATAGTCACAAAACTGCAGAACTGCACCTGGACAAGGAGACCAGAAGAATCTACAAAATTCAGGTAATTTTTGTTTTCTCATTTAGAAAAATTGTTTACCCTAGATTCATCTAACAAGCCATAAATTTAAATCTCCCCTTTTGAAAAGATAATTTTGTATCGCTTTTAGACTACATTCATAGCTATACATTTCTATTAATCTTTTGATGCTGGGGCTTGTTGGTTATTTGAATTGAACTGTGCAAACTGAGTACAATAAAAGAACTACACAAATGAAGTAATTTTACCTGTCTCCACTGTAAAGAATAGTTAACTAACTTAAGTAGAATAGATTACAATATTGCTGACACAAAACCTACAGTATTAAAAAAAATCAGTAATGTGATTTTTGTCCGTCTGAACTGGCATTCTGGTAAAAGGCTGTGCAACGAAGCAGTGTATTTCTTACCTCAAGACTATTGCTTCTATTAAAGAAGTGCCCAAGGCACTCATTACATTTGACGCTGCGTGTCATGGCCCTTGAGCATGTAAGCATGTGATTACATCTGTCCTTGTTCGGGATGGCACGTAAGTACATGCTCAGTAGGGACAGTGATCCCTGAAAAGCTTCCACTCTCATTTGGAAAAGCATCATGCTGGGTTTAGAGAACAGCTTCACTGTGCCAACCCTGTTTTCTCCAGAGGGAGAGACTCTCTTGAATTGCATTATTACCTGGATCAGAATTAAAGATTCTGTCATGATCATTAAAAATAAATAAACTGACCTGCCTTCTGATTCTTTTGAGTTAACTAGCATTGAAAACTTAATATCCACATGCTCAGCATGATACCCTTGGAAGAAGTAGTTTGGGGAGAGGTAGTGCTTTCTGTGCAACCTAAATTGCTGTGTTTGCTGTGTATCATAACTGACTAATGGTGTTTCCCAAAGCTGAGGTAGGAGAATACACAGAGGTAAGGTTTAAGGAACTTTCAATTAACTCGGGCAGGTTTTAGCTGTGCACAGAGATACCAGATGATGCTAAGGTGCTGTTCTGTTTCAGAACAGGCAGGTATCTTGTACAGTTGACAGGAGGTGAAACTATTCTCATCTGCACTTCACCCTGCTACACTTAGGGATTTTGTTTTCTAATCTTTCTTAACTCATCTTCCTTCTGAATGGACCACCACCACTTACTGGAAATTTGCCACTTCTGCTATGCCGGGTGTACGAGTCAGTGGCAGAGTAACCACTCCTTGTTCCAGCTTGACTTCTTCGTTTATTGCTTCTGCATTCTCCCTTCCACTGGGCCAACTTCTTCTACGTCTTCTAGGCCTATGGGAGTCAAACATGACACCCTCTATCTAAACTGTCATACAACGGTGGGATGGTTAGACTTGAAGTACAAGATGCTTACTGTTCCTCTTGCTGTCTTTGCCTTCCAGCAAGGAGTGTGGGTTACAAGTAGTCAAGGTGGGTTATACAATGGATGATCAGACTGGAAATAATCAAAAGTGAAAACTGTGGGGTGCGCTAGGCCACTTAGAAAATGTGGACTGTACAGATGTTGAGGTGAGCTTGCTAGCTTTAACTTAGCTTAAATAGCAAGCGAAAAAAGTCTTTTGAAACCCGTGGTTCAGCACAGACTGGACAAACCCTTATTACTTAATTTGCATTCAAGGGCTGTGCTGTTATGGTTTCATTGCTTTTTAACATCCAAACTAGTGAGAGTATTAGCTATTTCATATGTATACAACCCATGCTGCAATTCTGATGATAGTACTGCACATTCTTCTGTCCCTGTGAAATTTGATCTGGCATTGTGGATGATTATTTTACAAAAGATGTGTGCTTTTGCGTAAGTCTTTTCTTTTTCCATTCAGTCAAACTGCTCTTCCCTCTGTGGTTTTCTGGAAACAGGACATTAAAATTTTACAGTCGTCCTTGCTCCATACTGGAGACTTTCAAGGCTCTTAGCAGTTGGTCAATAGAGGCTTTAAAAAAAATTAAAAAAGGAGAAAACCAAATTCAGTATAAAATTTACTGACTAAATCTGTATACACTCCATGCTTACAGCACTCCCAAACTGATTTATCAGACCTAAGCACAAAAGCCTGGAACTAGCTTTGCAAGGACACTCTAGCTGAGAAATGATGCATTGACAGAGCTCTATGGGGAACAAAGCTTCTAGAAATGTGGTGAAATAAATGAATTAATAATCCCTTGGCAGTGCATCTCTTCCTTTTTCTAACTTTGCCTAGTGTCAGTAATGCATAATAACTGTGTAATACAAATATTACTCCGTTCTAAAAATCTCATTAAGTAGGTAGATAAACTCACCCATTTTGCAGAAGAGGAAATTAATCTCAGAGGGGCTGTGCAGAAGGAATTGGGTAGTACAGCTAGCCACCTGCAAGAGGAGAGCTTGAAGCCGCCTGGGTCGCGTTATTCACCTGCCAGTGCCACCAGAAGTCTGCCTGCTGACTAGCCTGCAGAGAAGCTGCTTGACTTCTTTCCGTGTTTGCCCATCTGTTAAATGGAGTGAACACTTACATGCTTCTCAGGCGTGGTGTCAGTTGTATGACATCTCTGTATTATCCTGAAGTTCTGAAGAACAGGCATGCATATTTATAAGGGATTTGATGTCTTATGCTTTGGGGCATAAGCTAACCTCTAATTAATAAGGTTCAAAAGCAGCTTCCCACGGGTAGTGAATTTCTCAAAGATGCTTTCTTGTGTTTTCCTTTGCAGCTTTTGCTGTTGGCTACCATCATGCTGGTAGTGGAGTGAATGAATATGTGGTCTGAGCCAGTAACTCTTATGTTCCTAGAAGACAGCAGTGTGTGCCAATGAGTACACATCAATTCTCTTTGTAAGCCGCACTCCCAGCAGATCCAGGCCAAATAAAAGAATTTGAATTAGAAGTACAGTGCAGGAAAGAAATACTTGCCTTTGTATTTGGCAAAAGGGTTACAGCTGACAGCCATGTGTGGCACAAACCACAGTGTTTTTGCCAACCCATTGTACAAAAAGCAGAATGCAGGATTCCAGGTTGACCCTCTACTAGCTCAGCTTTGCCATGCCACTGTGCAAACTGTGTCCATTTGTTGTCAGAGAGCTGCCCTTTTCCCTTTCCAGATGGCTTCTTCTAAAGCTGCTCTGCTGTGCACACCCACATGCACTTGACTAGATTGCTGTCTGGCAGTGGTCAGTGTTTCTTGACAGCAACGGGATGTTTACCCATGCATTTCTCAAAATCAAGTAGAATCACAAGGCAAGTACAAGCCATGAGTTTCTCTTTAATACCTCCCATATCCACAGTCACTCTTCTCTGGTTGATTTTTGTCCAGCCTCTGTTGGGGAAGCAGTTTCCTGGCCCTTCTCTTACATCAGCACTGCCAGATTTAGGCTGCCGTCAGAGGAGCAAGTGCAAGCACTTGCTTCATTGCTCTTGCAATCTAGTTAAGATTTGTTGTGCCCCACATTAGTGTCAGCCATTGCTAAAGAGGTTTTCTCTAACTTCACAATAAATGCTAGCAAAGGTGATGCACCTACACCAGAAGTGGTGTAAATGGCATCCTACTAACAGTGATTCAGGGAAAGTCATCTCCAACAGTTTCTGCTACTGACATATAGAGAACTACTTAAAGTATTCTTTATTCAGACCTTTCCTTTACAATATTCAGCTGTGCTTCTGGTTTTTTGTTTCTCGTGTTCTTTATGGCTCTACAGTCATCTAGCATCTCCACATTATCTCTTTGTTTCTAAGCCCGTCTGAATTCTTCCTCCCTTTTGAGATTTACATCAGCTCTAAATTGTTTTAGATGAAACAAGTCCTCAGATTTCCTGGTTATAGGAGAGGATTGGTAAAAACTTGGAAAGGGAGGGGAAATAATCTTACAGCTGCCTGGAAGCATCATTCTTAAACCTCAAAAAAAAAGCCATGCTGGGTAGCTTCCTCTGCAGAGGCTCTTCTAGCTACAGTCAGTAGAGTCTCAGGTTCCCTAGGTAACGTGAATATTAATTATTATATTAGTATTCTTCAAAGGTTTTCCACTTAAAAGAAATGTTTCATTAGTACAACAAATTACAGAGCCCAATTGGGTGCAAGCTGTAATTGTTTTTCACACCTCCACATCTCTGCTTTTCAGACTTTTAAGTTTTATTTATTCTCATTTGGGCTATACACACATGGTGGCAAATAACCTGCAGGTTTTCCAAATAGTTGCAACTCCTGTTTTTGGTGGAAGCTAACAAATAGCTAAAGCAGCACTCAAAATGATAAGGGGGGAGGAGGATGGGGATGATATGGAGACAGGCTGAGCAGATGCTGTGTTTCAGAGAAGCCTCTGGGCGTTGCATTTCTGGGCTATCTCGCTGAGCTTGGAGCCTGGCAAAGCGATGCAACAGTTATTCGGGAGTGGTATCATACTAGAATAGCCCTGTGTGAACTGTGGATACTGGGCCCCCTACCCATGGAAATACCATTCCTGACAAACCTTATTTGCATCTGATAATGAAGGGAGAAGGAAATCCCTAGGTGTAAAATACAGTTTTAAACCCCCTGATGTTACACTGCAAATTAGCTGCCATGCTGCTCCACCCCACCAAAATATTTTTAACTTTTTTAAAAAGAAAACTTTACTACTTTAAAAAAACAGAACCCTGGATCTGGAATAGAATAGTTAAAAGATCAACCTATTTTCCCAGTCCTGTAATTACCTCTTCTGCTTTTTATTCCACTCAACCTCTGTTGCCCTTTTCCCACTTTAATCTCTCTTCTGAAAAATGTATGTTAAACATTCCTGCGGATTATAAAATCCCACTCCTTCTTGAAGACGTTAATTTGTAGTGTGCGACACTCTAACATAAATAACAGTATTGCTTAACACATCTGTGTATTGCAGTGAGCCACAGTTGAAACACAAATAAAATACCCAAGGTCAATTTATGCTTACATAAGCTCACACCACCACATAATCAATAGCTTTCCTAACACTAAACAGATCAATAATTCCACTGTACCTTCTGAAATCTTCCATTCCAGTATACAAAAAAATATGCAGAACTCTGAGATTACAGTGTT